TGCCAGGATCAGCACCGAGCTCCAGATGGAGCCCGGCCCTGATCCTGGTGCTTCCACTGAGCCCTGACAGCCCCGAAGAAGTGCCAATCAGCTGGAAAGCGGCACTGATCCTGGTGCTTCCGCTGAGCCCTGACAGCCCTGCAGCTCCCGCCATCTTTCGCTCAGGCTTGTGCGGTGCTGCCTCCGGTTCAGCTCATTCCCCTCCCCCGCTACCACTTTTCTAGGATGGTCGCATACCACCTGCCAGGTGCCAATGTACCACAGGTGGTACCCATACCACTGGTTGAAAAGCCCTGTGTTAGAGGGCCACTTTTCCTCAAGCATTCAAAAAAGTACTCAAATTTCCTCTGATACATTAATTTGATTTTTGCTACCATCTGCATCATGTGTTTCTGGGAATGGCCCCAAAGAATCTCAGTGTGCTTTTATTGTAATGTGGATGCATCCTAAATATTAATAAGACACAAGACATTTATAAGCTAAGAAAAATAGGACAAGAAAATCCTGCTACTGATGTTACCTAGTCTGGTAACGTATTGTTCAGAAATTAAATTGAAACAATCTTGGAGAGCAAACCACTGCCAAAATTAAGTAATTTTTAACTACTTTTGCCTGGAGGCAATGTAATCAAATTTGTTATAGCTATGTAAGAGGTTGGAGTATGTGTGTGGGGAGGGGGGGCTGCAATGATGTTTTGCTGCATCAAACTCTTAAAGCTAATTGACTGCTGTCAACACATTTCTAACACCTTTTTAATAGGATATTTAGGAAAGGGTGACCTACACATTACTATTATATGCCTTATATACTGATGGAGGGGGTTGTGTACCAAGCCAAACGTCTACAAGCATGAGGTGTCTTTATCTTGGAATTGTTATAATAAATCAGGTGTGACATTATTTTGTCCCATTATGATGACTGAATTCCTGCTATTTGGGTGCATTCTTATTATTTAAGTATAAATAAGAATATTATAAGAGTTTGCAACTTGGAAGTTGTTTCATTTGAAATCTTAGGACCCTGCCAACTAGTGTGGGTAAAATAAGGCTTTCTTAGTCATGAGGACAAAAATTTCCTTTTCAAATAAACAAAAAAGAAAATATTCCTAGGTGGGAACAAGATGATTGAATTCAGTGCGATTTTATTTACGTCAGTAAATAAATAATGTTAAATCAGGTATATTTTCAGAAATTGCCTCCTTTTTTTTTTTTGCTAATCTACAATGTACTGATTTGCACTATTACAACACTATTGTGATGATTGCTGGGATAGATAGATAAAATAAATCTGAGTTTCCAAAGCAAGACTGAATTTTTGGAGAAGTTAAATTTAGCTTGTGGAATGTTTCTTTTCTTTCATATTATATTGGCTGTCCTGTGAAACCCATTTCACAATATGGATAATGATTCTAGCTCAGGAAACTCATCTAGTTTTATCCCAATTGTATTTTATTTTAAACTTTCAAGAAGGTCCTTCTTCTATAATGGAAAGCAGTTTTAGTTGTATATATGAGGTGAGATGACAGAGAAAGCCACTTTTCTTCCCAGTGAGTAATTTTATATGGGAGGGAAGGTGAGAAGAAATAATATATTAAAAATATAGGTAAGAACTGATAGATTTTTAAAAGGACACTGTCAATAAAAGTATGGTAATTTCCAGGGATTTTTTTTGTCATAGAACGGCCAGAACGGAGTTCAGGCACCTTTTTTGGATGGAACCTTGTAGGCTAGGCAAGGCGGGTTGTATGATGTGTGTGAGTTCTGGCACCTTTTTTTTTTTTTTTTTTTTTACAAAAAAAGCACTGATAATTTCAGAGTAACATCCTTAAATTTCAGTAGTAGTTATTGTCAGCTAAATATACACAGAATGGCAAACTAAACTACAGTATCCTCTATAGGTTTGGTCAGATGGTTTACTGGTTTACTGAATTCAATGAGATGTATTGGATTCTTTCCAGTTTTCATCTGTTGATGAGTTTTTTCAATTTTCAGTAGGCAGTAAAAAAAACCATTATAGTGTCATAGTTAAGATGTTGGATGATATTGGGAAAATTCTGGTTTCAGTCTGTCCTGGAAATTCCCTCCCTCCCTCCCTCTTTCAGGGGGTTATGATGAAGGGAAAAAAGTGGAGATAGCATTGAGTACCAGGATACAAAAAGCAAAGTAAAAATCTAATAAACTGTAATGGGTTGAATGTGATAGGATTTAAGGAAAGCTTCCAGATCAGATTTCTTTTTTTTTTAACCAAGCAAGCATACTGCCATGAGCATGTTTTTTATACTCTAGAAGTAAGCTATCAGGCAATGCAAGACTATCTTTTGCTGGTCAGACTATTTATTTAATTATCTATCCAATTTACTGGCCACCCATCTTAGCACATTATATCTTTGGGAGGCTTACAATATTATTTAAATTGTGTTGCTTGTGATCAAACAGCTATTTTCTCAGTTTTGGTTTTCTGCCAGCACATGTTTTCCACTGACTTTTTAAACAAAGCATATTGAAAAGCTCAAGGTTTTCTTTGGGGGAGCTTTCCACAGCTGGAGCATGATAAAAAAGTCTGGAGGAAGATTCAGGTGCATCCTTTCAGTTTCCTACCAGAAGCTATCAAAGGCTGAGATGCTTATATAAAAGCAGGTGGTTTAGAAGAAAGGCAAACAGCAGATATTTTTACCATGGAGGAATCTCCAAAGAAAAAAGAAAAATATCAGAATGAGTTATATATACATAGTGGAGTTCCCAGAAAAAGAAAAAAAAGAAACTCCCCAAATAGAGGACTGTTTTTTTTTTGTGCAACAACACCACCACCACCAAAACCTGACTTTTTGGAACAGTGGCAATTTTATGTGAAAAGGATTGGCACGATTTGTAGCATCTGATTGTTTCCAGAATTCAGCACTGGAAACACCTTTGTAGGCAGTGCTAATAAATAAAGCAACGTGAGTTTTCATGAGTTTTCTAAAAGACATTCCCCTTTTCTGATTTCCTCTTTCTCTTGCAAAACGTCTCCTTGGTATTGAACTGCAAAAGCTGAAGGCCACTTTTTCTGCTTAACTGGTTACATCTCACTGCCATAGATTCCTTCACAGCCTTAGCTAAGGAAATGTTCTTTATGAAGGCTTCTTCTCATTCAGAATTTGCAGTACAAAAGTTGTGAAAAACATTGTAGTTCATATCCACTTAGGATGGTTGAAAGAGTAAGGTAGATTCATAGCTATCACTTTAAGAATTTTAGAATATTGAAATTATTTTTGTTTTGGGGACTTTCATATATTATTATTATTATTCCAGCAAGAGAATACATTTTAGCAATGCTTCCAAAAGGTCTCAAATAAGATGTTATTTATGTGCTACCTCATGGAGTTTCTGAAAACACAGAATACTCAACTTTTTTCTTTGAATTGGGATGTATCAACTTCTTTCACAACCCATATGGACAGTTCTAAACCAACAACTACAATTGTACTGCTTATTCCTCCCATCCTGCAATCTCCTATTGTCTAATCCACGGGTCTTCAACTTAAAAACGTTAAGACTTGTGGTCTTCAACTCCCAGAATTCCTGTGCCAGCCATGTTTTAAAGTTGGAGACCTCTAATACCTGGATTTTTCAATGTCTAAGCATAGTACTTACCTTCTATCTCTATCTAACTCCACATTATTCAGTTCACCCAGATACACGTTGGCATGGTTGATTGATTGACTTTTTGGTTTATGGTCTCAAACCAATAAATAATGGTATAGTCATAGGAAAAGGATGTACAACATTGCTAAAATACCATAATTACAATTTGCTTTGCAACAAAGTCCTGATGGCTGGAAACTTTTTGTATATGTACAGTATATTTATAATTAACTCTCTTTCATATCACTTGCCTTCAACCTGTATAGAATTTACAATTACAGATATATAGTTATAGAATATACAGTACCATATGGAGAAGAAGACTATGAACAATTCCTTTTCTTTTGAGACACTGTTATTCACAAATTGAAAAGAGAATGAACATTGATTGGTAGACTGTTCTCTCCAAATATCCCACTTACAAACATAAACTGAAAACATAATCATATCCAAACTATTTTAGTGACTTGCCACAAATGTTTCCAAAGTAGTGGCCATCACTTCTAAAAAAAGAAACTCTTGATAGAAGTTAGCATTTGAGCTAATATTACCTCTTCCAAGTTCCAACTTATTTTGAATGCCAGCAAATCTGTTTTGTAATGTAAGTGATGTCAAGGGGAATGAGTACTCAGAATGCACTCCTGTTACTTGAAATCCATTATCACAATGCTTATGCTGGAGAGAGGCAGTTTTTAGGAAACTGAAAATAAAGTTCCCCTTCATTCAGAATCAATTTACCACATTTATATTTGCTAAATGGAATGTCAGTCTGTACTGCTGAGCAATGAAAATCTGGAAGGAAAATAATATCTGCAGGTAAGGCTCATTAAACAATTTAAATGAATGTTTTCTAAATCAGAACATAAAAGAACATTTCTGTCTCAATCTGAATGTTCAGTTTAAAGTTCTATTCAGTTTTGACATCAGAATTGAGAGAGCCAGTCAAACGTGCTGGTTAAGGCACCAGGGTAGAAATGGTGAGATAGTGAGCCCTGCCTTAAGCACAAAGCCAGCTGGCTGACTTTGGGACAGTCAGTTTCTCTCACCCCTAGGAAGGAGACAACCACTCTCCTCTCCCCTTCCCTCCCCTCCTCTTCCCTTCCCTTCCCTTCTCTTCCCTCCTCTCCTCTCTTTCCTCTCTCAGAAAATATTGAATGTAATGGTAGGATTTTATTGATCTATAGTACATTTCATTGTGCATATGACTGATTAATCTTATCAAAGAAGTTGAAAAATATGGAGAAAGGAAATAAGAAAATGTAAAAATTACTATTCAACATCATTTTAAATAATAATAATTAATAATAATTATACTCTTCCTTCTGTGGACTCTTATATTTATGCTTTATTTTGGGACCATGTTGATGTTCTTTCCAGAAGACAGCATGCTTAAAGTCAAAAGTGACTATGATGAAAAACAAGATGGAATTTTGAAGTCTGAGCCGGTAGAAACTGGAGAAGAACCCAGGATCCTTTATAACTACAGGCCGGAGTACGGAGACTATGACAATATGGAACTGGAGAGGCATTCTGAACCATATGACCTTGTCAAATCAAATACTGCAAAACTGAAGTGTGACATTTGTGGATTAGGCTGTGTCAGCCTCAATGTTCTGGTGGTTCACAAGCGTAGTCATACTGGTAATTACCATTCATTCAGAAGCAAGATCTCATTTGAAAATACTTGATCTGAGGCTGTTCCAGTAGCCATTGCAATGCACTAAGTTGGGCAGAGTCCAGGTAGTGATCAAGCAAGATAGGATGGCCCATTTAGGGGGCATACATATGTATGTATGCTGGAGGGGGGGGGGAAGAATACCTTAAAGTTGTTACTCTTATGCATTCTAAAAGGAAATTGTTTTGGTAAAAAAGCCATTCATTGGCATCTGGGGGAAACTGTGCTATACAATCAGAAACAGAGATTTTTCCCTTCTCAACCAACCCTTTATTGCATTAAGCCTTCTACTAGCTCAGGCCTCTGCTCTGACAAGATAAATCAACCCCATAGTTCTTATGGCAGAATAATTTGAGTTTATCTTTAGTTAAGACTATAGTGCTTTAATAACCATTCCACCACACATGCTGTTTTTAAGGTGAGCGCCCTTTCCATTGTAATCAATGTGGAGCCTCATTTACCCAGAAGGGAAATCTTCTCCGCCATGTTAAACTTCACACTGGGGAAAAGCCATTCAAATGTCACCTTTGTAGCTACGCCTGTCAAAGAAGAGATGCACTCACAGGACACTTAAGGACACATTCTGGTAAGTTTATTTTTCTCAAGATTGATTGATTTAGTTCCTTTATTTCTGTTTTTATCAGCAGTACTTTAATTTCAATAATAACAATAACAATAATAATATGTTTTATAACCATAAATGAAAAAGTGAGTTCTTACCTAATCTACATCAATATCATATATATTCAATTTCATGATAGCTCCATCCAATTCCTGCATAATTTTGTAATTTTTCATGCATAAAATTTCATTTATTCTCTTCTTTTGCTATTGTTACTGCCATGTTTGTGTCTCTCTTTGTGTGGGTGTATTCTGCAATTCTATATATCTATTTGTTTCTCTTCTCAGATTAAAACATGGATCAGAAAATTGTGTTATTTGAGATAATCTATTTCTCAGCTAAAAATACATGTACTGGAAAGATATATATATATATATATATTCATTTTTACACCATATTGCATATACATTATACATTTGATCTAAGAACTGCAGGTCCATATTGTAAGCTGAGAAGTGGAAATTGGTTCAGTTTCTTTAACAATGATCAAATTCTCCTTCATATTAACCATGCAAAATCATTTTGCAAGCACAGCCTCTATAAGGATCTATTAATAACATCAAATTGATCGATTTTATTGTTGTTGCAAGTAAGGAACAACAATTCTAAGGGAAATGGACAGTTAAGAAATAGGAAATATACAGTAAATAAATAAACAGTATAAAAGATCCGGAGAGAGACAACTTTATTTTATATTAAGAAGGTATAAAAGATAAAGAAATAAAGAATTACAAAGAAATCTAGTCAATACCCCAAAGAAAGATTGAGAATACTGGTGGCACTTCTTCACTGCTATTATTTTTTTTGTGAACAAAAATTATCAGATGTATCTAAAGATAATTTGTTATTATTTTCAGGATTTGTGGCTTGCAATACTAAAAATAAGTGAAAATCGGAGCCATAGATTGTGCTGCAACAGCTCCTCCAGCTTCTGAGGCCCTTGCAGTCCTCTTCCACAAGGAAGAAAGAGAGAGGGAGGGAGGGAGGGAGGGAGGGAGGAAGGAAGGAAGGAAGACATTCCAGTAGCTCCTCTCACCTTTAGTTTATCCAATGTGGAGGACATTGACACAGCAATCTAATGCTCTACACTTTATGTCTGGACAGCTGAGATATAGCTGCAAAGAAGTCATGCTGGCATCTCCTTAATGGAACCTAAAGTTCAGGAACCATGAAGAGGTATTAAGCAAGAGGACTCATTAGCATGGAAACAGAGCTGCAGTAAAGCAAAGCAAATATCTAGCATTGCAGTGGTTTCCAGTACATCACTGATGAATCATATATTGTATAAATGAACTGAGGTTTCCACTGCTGACAGTATGGAAACACAAAAGTTCAAACAGAACCAACTTCTTCAAATCAAAAGGAGGGCTTGTGTGTCATGATGTCATTGTACAAATGTTGTCAATTAAGTAATTGACAATGCATGTAATATCATTTCTCACCCCCAATCCAAATCCTCCACAGACATTCATGAGATCATGGCTTTTTAAAGATTAAAATATCTTTCTTACGAAGCATTAGCCAGAGAAAGGGAAAAAAAAGCTTCTTCCTTCAGTTAATCAGATATATTTAGATTAGGAAATCAAACATTCCCAGCTTAGAGTATCTTTCGCTATTTCAGTCTTAAAGCTGATTGGGTATTTAACTTGGCAGGACTATTCTGGGGATTAACAGATTATGATTTGAAGTACTTGATATGTTAAAATGATATATTTATTACATAATATCTATAAACCAAATACTCATTTCTAGTGGAGAAACCATTCAAGTGTGAATTCTGTGGACGGAGTTATAAGCAGAGAAGTTCATTAGAGGAACACAAAGAAAGATGTCGGACATACCTCCAGAATGCTAGCCTCAGTGAAGCTGGTGAGCAGTTGGGAATTCTTCTTTTTTTTGTAATATATTTTATTGATTTTTTAAAAAAAACATAAATCACTTAATAATTGGTGAACAGTGTGTTGTCTGGGTTACTTTTGTAAAACAAACACTAACAATTGGTTTCTATAATCTATAATCTACATAATAGTTTTAGTTGATTTCCTCTTTTCCCAAAATATCCTCTTTTGCAAACATTGAGTTAATACAATTCTTATTGTTTTGATAGATAACAATTAAATATATATTTTCCCCAATAGTCCTAAAAATAAGAATCACATCAATATTTCTTTTCTATCCAATCATTCTGGTTGCATTATCATAGATCCTGTTACAGTCCTTATTTTAATTTGTTTCTCCCACCAAATTCTAGATATTCTTACTGGTTAAGATTTTCTCAAAAATTAATTACATTTAAGAATTTAATTTTATTTTTCCATATGAACCATCTCACACTTTTACATTTCTTAAGAAATAGATAAAACAGTAAAAAGAAAGGAAGAAAAGCAAGAGTAAAGAAGCATAAAAAATAACATACTACTTAAAATATATATCCCTCCTAAGCTAATATGTATTTATTTCCTAAATTTCTTATTCTTTTTAACCATAATTAAAATATGTTTAATCTTTAAACATTCCATTTAATACATCTAGTCATCTAGTCCTTTAACTCTTATTCAAAACATTTTATCCATTATAATTTTCTTGCATTCAATCACATTTAAATATCTAAAACATTTCCTTTATCTAAGTCATTTCAACTTTTTTATATTACTCATATCAAGAAAGAGAACAAAAAAGGGAAAAAAGCATACTATATTATATTAAGAGAATTCATCCCTCTTAGAGTGATATATATATATTCCAAAACTTTTCTATTTCTTTAACCATATTCAAACAAATGTTTCTTTTTTAAGTATTCTCTCTGGTAAGTCCCATTATCTATTTTCTTAGTTTCCACTTTAGTCTTTTTCTTTTGCCCAGTGTCTTTCTTAATCAATGTATTTTGCTCAATCAAAATACGTTACGTATGTTCGTAAATGTTGCTGTAGATATAAAAAGTAAATCAGGAGAAGTGTCTTTGTACGGGACTTCTGCCTTTTCATGTTTGTTGAAAATCTTTTTTCTTTTTCTTTTTCTCCGCTTCTCTTATCATTTCCTTTCTTTCCAATGTTCCTGACATCTCTACAGTCCATTTTATCAGATTGTTTTCTTGTCCTCAGATTTATTTTGTAGTCTTAAGGAATAAGTTGTTTTTTCCAATTCTTGTGAATTTTTTCCCACTAGGATTAAATCACATTTCCTTGTTTTGTTAAGTTCCATCTTTAAGTCTCTATTCTCAATTCTATATCCATTTACCTGTTTTATCTGCTCCTTCTCTGTTGTTTTCTGGGATTTTTGTTGTTGTAGAGTTAACTTGGAAATAGATTGATTTATATTTATATTTTGGATTTCTTTGTGGTTTAAAGTCATTGTTGTTTGAATTAGTTGCAGTATACTCTATATCTCCTCCTGTGACGTATTTATGTTTTCTTGATATGTTCTTTCTACATGTCTCTGATCCATGATAGCCAAGAATTTGAGTTTTCCTCTTCCTTTCTTTTCTCTGTAAATAGCTTTAGAGTCCCAGTTAGGTAGATATTTGTAATTCAAATAGTTCAAAAAAGATTTCCCCCCTGAAATTTATAATTCTCTCTTTGTCTACAGCCCAGATTATTGTCTTTTTTTGTCACAGCTGTTCTTTATTGTTAAAGCTTTGAAGGTCACAGACATAGATTAGCTTTTCCCAGATTTTGCCAAGTCTTATATTAAAGTCATAGCTGTCACAGTCTTCATCTGCCAATAGGTGTCAGCAACTATTTGTTTTTTAATTCCAAAATGAACAATTACTGTATCTCTGAAATGAGAGTCTTAACCATTAAAACAATTTTAGATTTATCCAAGTTTAAGTTTTAAGTTTCAAGTTTTATATTTATTTCACTTCCATATATTTTGATCCTCCATAAAAAGATTAATTTGCCGCTTCCTTTAGTATAAGGGTGGGGCGGAAATCCCCCTCCTTCCCTTTCAGAGGGATTTTGCTTCTTGGGGATCTTTTCCAGGAAATTAAATGTAAAAGAGAAAAGAGAAGATGAAATTCCTCACCCAGTTTCAAGCACGCTGTTCACAGTTGTGCTGGTTAGTGCTTTTGGACTTCGGTTG